AGCGGCAACGCCCTTCGAAAAGGCTCCTGCTGCTGCTGCAAAACCGTGCGAGCCAAATGAGAGAAGTAGTAGTAAAAGCAACGTGTCGATCGCTTTTCCCATTTATTTTGTGGGGCGAAAGAGAGAGATGATAAAAAAAACGAGACAGAAAAATAAAAAGAAGAAAGCCATGGCAAATGAAAATTGCATGTGGCGGCGGCCGCTCTTTGAAAAGGCGGATGAAATGCAAAATACTCGGCGGTACTTTCGCCCCAGTGCGGAGAACTCCGCGCGTGCGGTGTTCGCCGCGGCCGCATTACCTCCAGCTTCAGTCGTGTGACCCCCCCCCCTTTCCTCCTTCAACCCCCCTCTAATCTACTCCCCCCACCCCTTCCACGCTCCGACCCACACACCACGATTGAACCACAAATGTGTTTGCCTGCGCCGCCTGGCCGCTAAAACAAGCAAACTATGGCGGGCAAATGTTGTGCAGTCCAGCCGGTCCCCTCCGCGCTGTGTGCCACGCGCGTTTGGCGCGCCGTGCCTGGCCATCACCGTGTTCTGTCACGGGCGCGCGAAAGCAATGGACGAAATGTGTTGGGTGTTGGGAGTTGGGAAAAGGGGGTCCTGACCTGCATTTCACTGTGCTGTGTGGTGGTGGCGTAGTGTGGGTGCGCGCCGTGAGATTGCCGTGTGGAGCCGTCTGATGAACCTTCCCTCCGCCCTCCGGCTCCGGCTCGCTTCGCACACTCGCTGCCCGCAGCGGCTCGCCTCGCCGTGGCTGTGGCCTTGTTTGGCGGCGGCCAGGGCGGAGGGCGCTGCCGCGTAAACCAGGCGAGACAGGTTCGCGTGCCCGAGGCGGCCGCCGCAGCAGCCCAACCCCCGCTTAAAAGCTTTCTGACAATTGGCCTTGTTCATAGCGGGGTGGTTGTTGGCGCGGTGGCCAGAGGAGTAGGATCAGGGGCGAAACGGCCGCCCAACAGGGATGAGGTTGGCCGCGGAGCCCTTGGACGCCCTCGGCGGAGAGGCGGCGGCGGTCGTAAGCATTGGCGATGCGCGCCGCTTTTTGGGACAAAAGCCGCGCTGCGGTGGTGGGCGTTATTGGCGAGTTTTTATTTTCTCGAGAACGTACCGAGGATGTAGTCCGGTCGCTGGTTGCTGGTCGACACGGCCGCCGGCACGCCGGGCGGGACGCCGCTCGCCTGCTGGGGGTCGGCGATGTTGTCGGCCGTCGAGGACGACGACGACGACGACGAGGAGGAGGAGGAGGACGAGGGTGGCGTGGTGGCCGCGGCCGCCTGCAGCTGCGCTTTGGTCCACACGTACTGCGCGTGCAGGCCGCGCTTCTTCTTGTCGCGGACCCAGTCGTCCACCATGTTGCGGCCGTCCAGCCGCCGGCCCTCCTCGTGCGGCGCCTCGGGGTCCCGCGCCACCTTGGGCAGGAAGTGGCGCCTCCCGCCGCCCAGCAGTACCTGCACGCAAAAAAGTACATTCGAAAATTTGTTAGACTGCAAAACGTTTTAATGGGCAGAAATATTTTGTGTGCAAAATTTGTATGCAAATGGTCTTTTGTATGCATTTTTTTTTTTTGGTGTTCAAAAAGTTATATCAGAGCTGACACATTCTATCTCAGAGTGACTCGTGTTTGCTTTGTTGAAAGACATTCTTTCGAAGGTTGCCCTTTTCCCAAATACTTGTGGCCCTCCCCTATCTCATTTCCAGAGATCAGCAGCGAACAGGCCGGTTCGAATGCGAACGAACTCGTCTTAAAATCTTCGAACGAACACGGACAATAATTTTTTTTCTTCGAACGACTCGAACCGAACAAGCCCTGGTTGTTCACCTGCTGTTCGCTGTTCCTTCGCGTTCGTTCGACTGCGAACATGTTCGCTCATCTCTACTCCTTTCTCTCCCCCACAGACACACACACATGCGCGCGCGCTTGCAGGATGTAAAAATAATCAGCGCGCAGCGCAATTTCTTATTTTGGGAGAGAATGGCGCGCCGGCGCGGCAGTGAGACAGGGCGACAGCTAATCATGTATGCAAATTCCTCTCGGGGCGCTGGCCGCAGCGCGCCCAACCCCAAGCACTCTGCGCGCCGGGCCGCGCCACCACCGCCCCGCTACGTGGACAGCGATACCCCGCCGACATCCAAAATGTACGAGGCGACGCTGCTGCTGCCGCCGCTGCACTGCACATATTCCTCTGCTCTCTCCCCTTTTTTTTACCTCTTCTTTTACCGAGCCAAAAGTTGTCTGTGCGGCTGGCGGTTGGCGGGCGCTGACTGAGCAGTAGCGCACGGGGCCAGTCCTGTGGGTCGCATATCTCATACAATCTTTGAGGGGTACAAATTTAATGCGAAATGAACTGCCAGCGATGTAGACGCGCCGAGCGTGTGGCGGAATTTCGCTCGTTTGCACTTTGCCAATGGTAATCCTATGTCCACCAGGCCCTTTGCGCAAACCTCTGCTCGGTGCGAGCGAAACACATGCTGACGCATACTGTATTGGTTTTAATTCCTCTTTCACGCCAAATAACCCACAATAACCCAAATAATCCATACTAAACCAATGGAGTCTCGTTCATCATAAAATGGTTTCATGTATTTTTCCGTTCATTCATTTTTCAAATAAAATTATCTTTTAACAAAACAATTGCGAATGATTGCAATATAAGTCCCATTTGCTTGTTTGTCAGATTATCGCATAGATCGCAGATTTTCCGTTTTTTTTTCTCTCGATCCTAGGGGTGTTATGATTAACTTCCGAACCGCTTTCGACTGGTTGGCAACAGTGGCGCCAGTGTGATGCGATCGCCCGCTGCGGGCGAGATGCTTCCCTGCTGTGATGTTTAATCAATTCCGCTGAGCGTCTAGGGCGAGCCCAAGGCCCTGCCGTTGCTGAGCCGCACTTCACGCGGGCTTTTTAAAAGCCTCTTCTACGTGTGGCTTAAACTTCTGGGCCATTGTAGGGAGAAAAGTATGTATGTCGTAAAATTACGTGTTTGATGGTGCGCCGTTGTATTTTTTTTTTCTTTCTTTGCCTTGACTTCCCAGTTCAGGACGGCCTGGCGGCTCGAGCGTTGCGGGACCGGACCGGAGTCGGGACTTAAAAACACGAGAACCCTGATTCGCAGCTTAAGGCGCAGGCAGACCGGACGGCCGGTGGCACGGAAGTGGCACACGCCCGGCTCGCCTGGCCAGGACTCACAAACTGGCAAACAAACGGCACGGCCTTCTTTGAGCTCATTTTTTTTTTTCTGTCCTTCCTGCGTTTGGCCAAAGGCGGTCTTGGAGGGGGTTACTTTGCTGGACTTACCACGCGAAAAGTAAGAGTGAGGG